GATGGTTACATGTATATCAGAGATTATCTCAATACGCATGACACGATCGAACCAATCTACTTCTTCAAAAAAAGCAACGACCTTGTGTACAACCATGGGTTCACAAGATTTCGATGGAATCACGGTACATGCCCTTTGTGTGATCGTGATTATCCACATGAATGCTGTGCCTCATGCAAACGAGAATCAACCAATTGCCATTGTGTATACCGTTGTGCTCTCGCTTATCCATCCATGTACACCCCTCAGGGTAACGTGCTAACTTGGGCAAAATGCACTTTCTGTACAAACATGAATGATGAAAAATCCATGCGAGAACACATGAGAGTTTGCGAAGGAACGATCACCCGAGATCTCAAGATTACATTTCTTAAAGTTCGATATCATCCTCAGAAATACGATGCGATCGAGACCAGACCAGAGACATTTGATCTAAACAAGCATCGATATAAGATATGCGACAAGATTCATGATCCACAAAGATGCTCACGAGCAAAATTGTGCTGCTACCGATGCTACCAACCTGGCCACTTTGTAAGAGACTGCCCACAAATGAAATGTTACGACTGCAATCGATATGGACATATCGGTAAGAACTGCCCAATGAGAAATAAATGAATGGTCTTAAATATTAAAATAACTATCGGCTCCCATGCACTGCCGGGCCGGAGTAGTTAGTTAGTTAGTTAGTTAGAACCACCTGTGCCCAACTCACAACCCTGGTTCGCAGTGCATGGGAGCCGATACCAAACAATGATTAGCCAATTTATTTTCTGTATTCTATTAGTATTTTTATTGTCTGTTCTAATGATCAAACCAATTGTCTTGTAATTATAAAATAAACTGGTTGTGAATTTTATTTGCATAAAAAATAATAAAAATGAATCTTGTTCAAGAAAAAATTACTAAAATCCTCGAAGATGGTGGTATGAATGATAAGTTTAAGAAAACAAAATTAATAGAAATATTCAAAAATACCACAAAAAATAGTAAAGAATTTGCAAAAGAAAAATTTGAATTCTGGGTTGAAAATTATTATCATATGCGTATAAATCAAGTACCTAAAGATAAAGGTATCAGATTACTAGAAGAGAGAAAACTTGTTCTTCAAAATTTATGGAATGAAGAAGAAGAAGAAGACACCGCCAACGAAGATATGAAAAGATGGAAATCCATCATGAATGATGTCGTAAATGAGATAGAAACCTAATGATCTTTTTCATGTGATATTTATTTTAGTGATATTTTATTTGATTTGTTTACATTCAATATTATTTCTGTATAAATATAAGTTTCGTTAAATGATCAAATAAAATATATTTATTTCTAAACCATGTTCGAAGCTTGTTTGCAAAAATCATTTTTGTTTAAAAAAATCATTGAGTCAACCAGGAATCTTGTCACTGAGGTCAACCTTGAATGCCTCGAATCTGGCATCTCGTTCAAGGCCATGGATGGCTCACGCATCGCATTGATATCTATGTTTCTCGATTCTAAAGATTTTGATAAATTCGTTTGTGATAGAGCGGTTTCGGTTGGTGTGAATATCTCTTCGCTGAACAAGATTCTCGCTCGTGTAAATGACAACGTGAGCATGTTGCTCAAGATCGATCAAGATTCTCTTGATATTATTAATATTGAGTTTAAAGGCTCAGC